CGGTTAACCCTAAACCCTAAACCCTAAACCCTAAACCCTCAACTCCGAGCCCGGGAGGCGCGACACGAATGCAAAGACGCCAATTGCTTCTTGCATCGAAAACCCGCACCTCGACCCTAAACCCCAAAACCTAAACCCTAATCCCTAACCCCAAACCCTAAACCCTAAACCCTCACTTGGATGAAAGTGCTGCAGCAGCGCTCCAAAGCCCTCACTGCATGCAGCGTCGGCAGCAGCGCAGAAGCTTCCACTTTGAGGCAGCAAATAAGCGCGCGGACGACGCAGGCTGCGTCCAGCTGTACGTACACCCCAGACCACACGCACACACGCTGCTGCTGCTGCTGCTGCTGCTGCTGCTGCTGCTGCACGGGGTCCTGTGGCTCCAGCAAACGCTGCAGCAGCAGCTCGTGCTGCTGCCGGTAAAAAGACCGGCAGGAACACGAAGCAGTTGCTGTTTCACACTGGAAAGCCCAAACAATAAGTGCCAAACCCTAAACCCTAAACCCTAAATTGTGGTAACTGAGTCTCAAATCCTTACTTCGTGAAGTGCGGCGCTGCTTGACAAATATGGGGCATCTTCGGGCCCCACACGAGCAGCAAAAATGAGGGCGCAGTGCTGCAGCAGGCCGTAGACGAACTCTGCGCAGCTGCTGCTGGTCAGCTGTTGCTGCTGCTGCTGCTGCTGCTGCTGCTGCTGCTGGTCCTGCGTTGAAAGGGACCGCTGGTCAAGGACTGCCAGCTGCTGCTGGCGGCTCTCGTAGACCGCATCGTCGCATGCAAGCAGCAGCAGCGCCTGCAGCAGCTGCTGCAGCAGCAGCTGCTCAGCATCTCTGTGGCTTCTTGTGCGCAGCGCAGCACGGCGTTTGTCGAGCGGGTAAGCAACAGCAGCAGCAGCAAGTCCGTCCCACTGCTGCTGCTGCTGCCGCACCAGCAGCTCCTGTTGCGCCAAGAGCTGTTGCTGCTGCGCTGCTGCAGCAGTGGGCACGACGCGGTCGCTGCAGAAGTTCGGGTGCTGCTGCTGCAGCGCAGCAGCAACAGCAGCAGGCAGCTGCCCACCGGACTGCGGCTGCAGCGGGAGTCCCCGGGCCTCAAGAGCAACGTTGCTGCTGCTGCTGCTGCGCGTGTAGACGACTTGCTGCTGCTGCTGCGCTGCAGCAGCAGCGCGCGCTGTCAGCAGCAGCCAGTAGAGGGAAAGAGGAGAGTCAAAGTCCACCAGCAGCAGCACAACCTGCTGCAGCAGCTGACCCGCGCTGCTGCGCATGTCTCCAGCCACGCAGCTTTCGCAGAGTGAAAGACACAAGCCAGGAGAAGCAGCACCATCAGCAGCAAACAGCCCCTGCAGCAGCTGCAAGCCTTCGCTTTCGGCCGTCTTTGCTGCTGCTGCTGCTGCTGCTGCTGCTTCTTCGGCGCTGCTGCTGCTCGGGTCCTCATCAAGCTCCTCCGCACCAGCCACGCTAGAGTCGCTGCTGCTGCTGCTGCTGCCGTTGCTGCTGCTGTTCTTGCGGCTGCGAATAATCGCCAAGGCCCGTCGGACAGCGCGGACGGCTTGCTGCTGCTGCTGCTGCTGCTGCTGTTGCTGCGGCTGCTGCGGATAGGGATGAGCAGCAATTCGAGATCCCACAGAAGTGAGCAGCGGCTCAGAAGCGTAGCAGAGGCTTGCTGCTGCTCTGTCTGCATCGGCGTGCTGCAGCAGCTGCAGCACGAGAGACACAACGCGGTCAAGTCCCAGCTGCAGCACAGTCTCGTAGCAAATCTGGCTGCTGCTGCTGCTGCTGCTGCTGCTGTAGCTGCGGTTTGCTGCAGAGGCCGCTGCTGCCAAGCTTGAAAGCTGCTCTTGCTGCTGCTGTTGCTGCAGCTGGTGCAGAGGCTCCGCAGCCACCAGCAGGCCGCCGCTGCCGCAGTAGCTCCCGCTGCTGCTGCCGCTGCTGCTGCTGCTGCTGCTGCTGCTGCAGAGACCAATGGGGAGGCCAATGCTCAGGACTGGCTTGAAATAAGGCTCAGGTGTACAGACAGCTGCATCCTTTAAGAAGGCTCTGTTTTTGCCCCCCAACTTCCCCAGTATTTTTATTACCATTTCTGCGTGTTTTTCGTGCTGCTGCTGCTGCATGATGCTGCTGCTGCTGCCGCTGCTGCCGCTCGTTATGAAGTAGCGAGACAGCAGCAAAGACGCTGTTGGCGCGGGAGGCGGCAGCGGCTGCAGCAGCTGCAGCAAAGCAGACAGCAGCAGCGTCCGCCGCTGCTGCCGGTCTCCCTGCTGGACCTGCAGACGCACAGTCCCTAAACCCTAAACCCTAAACCCTAAACCCTAAACCCTACTAGACCGCAGAAGCCTTCCACACCTCTGCGTCGCTCTGAACCCGCTAAGCCGCAGCACCTCAACCGTGCCCAACACGAGGGTATCAGGACCATCCCTCTGGCCCGGAGCTTAGGGTTTAGGGTTTAGGGTTTAGGGTTTAGGGTTTAGGGTTTACCTGGGAGGCCAGCACGGGGTACACAAAGTCCGCATGCAAATGCTCCACCCACAACTCTATTGTCCGCAAGCTGAGGGTCAAGAGGTCCGCGTCGGAGCTCCGCAGCGAGCGCAGCAGCGGATATACCAGAAACCCTAAACCCGCAAACCCTAAACCCTAAACCTTAAACCCTAAACCCTAAACCTTAAACCCTAAACCCTAGACCTGGGACCCTCAATCCCTGCGAGTAAAGCACTTTCTCACTGCGAGAAAATACGCATTCTGAAAAGCCTAAATGCTGAAGACGGCAAGCGATAACCACCCGTTCACCAAACCCTAAACCCTAAACCCTAAACCCTAAACCAGTAGTTCCCACAGCCAAGCAGCAAGCGCAGCACCATCCTAGGGTTTAGGGTTTAGGGTTTACCCATGTGAGGCAGCAGATGCTTCAGCCTTGCTGGAGCCAGCAAGGAAAACTCTATCCACAAGTCCTTGAGCACGTCAGGAGCTGCAGCAGAACATTCAACCCTAAACCCTAAACCCTAAACCCTAAACCCTCGATTCTGAAAAAAGACCTCTCAAAACCCAAATCAAACTCCAAATCTTTGCGGAACGTCTATTAAATCCAAAGTTTCACCACATGCAATTGGCGCACACAGATCCATGACCCTAAACCCTAAACCCTAAACCCTAAACCCTAAACCCGCCGTGCCCACCAGACTGCTGCTGCGCCGCGCATGTCTGCAGGTAAGAGTGCAAGAGGGGCGTGAAAGAGGCAAAAAAGTGGACGGAGCGGCCTGCAGGCAACCTCAAACCCTAAACCCTAAACCCTAAACCCTAAACCCTAAACCTATAGCTATACCCTTAGCCTCTAGCAGTGCTGCCTGCAGATCTGAGCCTCAAAAACTCGGCTCGCCTGAAACCCAAAGCGCTGCAGCGGCAGCTGCTGCAGCAAAAGCTACTGCAGCAACAGCTACTGCAGCCACTGCAGCAGCAGCTCCAGCAGCAGCTACTGCAGCAGCAGCTACTGCAGCAGCAGCTGCTGCAGCACGCTTTGGAGTTCAAAAAGTGAAGGCCTGAGTGAAGTGTAGCCTGCGAGCCCAGTGGCTGCTGCGCGTGTGCGTCTCTGGCCCCTTCGAAACCCCGAAACCCTAAACCCTAAACCCTAAACCCTAAACCCTAGGCCTACCTGGGGGAGTTATCTGGCGCAGAAAAACCCTCAGCAAACCCAGCAGCACATGGGAAAAGTTGCTGATGCTTGCGAGGTGAGCGCTGCCTCTGCAAATTTGCTGCAGAAAGGGGTAAGCCTGAGGCAAGCCACGGAGAAGGGTTTAGGGTTTGCGGGGGTTTAGGGTTTGCGGGGGTTTAGGGTTTGCGAGGGTTTGGGGTTTACAAGGGTTTCGGGTTAAGGCTTGAGGGGCCGCGGCGCCGAACGCTAGCCGCGCACAAGCCAACAGCACGGGAGTTGAATTTAGGGTTTAGGGTTTAGACGCGGCAAACACTCAGGCTATAACTCAGGTTTAGGGTTTAGGGTTTAGGGTTTAGGGTTTACGAGAGTAGCTTCGCAGTCTCTGCAGCCAACCACCGCCTTCAGCAAGTAACGAAAGAGCCGCACTAGCGACGCCACAGGGCTCATGCGGCAAAACCCTATTCCATAACACAAACCCTAAACCCTAAAATCTAAACCCTGAACCCTAAACGCCAATCCCTAAACGCTTAACCCCTAACCCTAAACCCTAAACCCTAAACCCTAAACCTCAAGCCCTGACCCTTGGTCGTGACCCGTAAGCCCTGATTGCTGCACACTAACCTCAACAGCGCCAAATTGCAGACCGCTAGCTGAGCTCCAATTACCTTAGGGTTTAGGGTTTAGGGTTTAGGGTTTAGGGTTTAGGGTTTGGTACCTGTGCCGGCCTGCAGCAGCCCGTCCTCTCCAGGGCATATGTCGCCTGTGTCAATATAAGTGCTGGGGCCCTCCCAAGGTGTCACAGGGGGAAAGGGCCACGTAGCAGTTGCTGCTGCTGCTGCTGCTGCTGCTGCAGAAGCTGCTGCTGCTGCTGCTGCTGCTGTAGGCTTTGCCCCAGAAGAGTTCACGCTGGGCTCGCTCGCGCTGCGCAGCTGCAACATCCGCTGCACCATCTGTGCTGCTGCAGCAGCAGCAGCAGTGTGCTGCGTTGGCTGCGGGAGCAGCGGGGAGCAGCGGCCGCAGCGGCAGCCGGGTTTCTGCTGCTGCGGGCAGATTGGAGCAGCAGCAGCCACAGCTGATGCTGCTGCAGGGCCTGCAGCAGCAGCAGCAGCAGCGGCTTCCGTGCAAGCGCAGCAGCAGCAACGGTCTTTGCCGTAGTACTGAGGCAGGAAGCTGGAAGGGTAAATGCACTGGTGCTGCTGCTGCTGCAGCAGCAGCTTTTCCAGCCCTAGGCGGGAGAGACGAGGAGACATTTCAGAGAAACTGCTTGCTGCTGCTGCAGCAGCAAAGTCTGGCGCGTGGGGGCTAATGCTGCTGCTGCCAGAGCTGCAGCAGACCTCAGGTAGGTGCAGGATCGTTGACGCATGCGCCTGCAGCAGCAGCAGCAGCAGTACCAGGAAAGCTGCAGCAGTAAAGCTTGCTGCAACGATAGCTCCACACAGCGCAGCTCATTGTTGCAGCAGCAGCAACAGCAGTTTCAACAGCTGCAGCGGTCATTCCAGCAGCAGCAGCAGCAGCAGCGGCAACGCTACACGCAGGGCAGCAGCAATGACCGCAGCAACAATGCAGCCACATCCCCTCAGCACCTGCAGCAGCAGCACCTGCAACAACAGCAGCAGCAACAGCAACAGCAGCAGCAGCAGCAGCAGCAACACACCGCCTGCAGATCCTGGTGATTCATAATGCTCTGCTGCGCGCTGTCCGGCACCCGCGAGGCCCCACGAAGTATTGCAGCGTCAAGCACAGGGTCGCAGACCTGCGGCGTAAACCCTAAACCCTAAACCCTAAACCCTAAACCCTCAACTTTGGAGCTTGTGCGTGTGGTGTAGGGTTTGCGACGCTGTCAATGGGCTTGTGGGTGCGCCGGAGAATCTCGGGAATGTGTGCAGCAGCAGCTGCTTTGAGAAATGAGGGTTTAGGGTTTAGAAATTAGGGTTTAGGGTTTAGAAATTAGGGTTTAGGGCTTGCGCTGGCCTTGTAGGCTTCTTCTGCTGCCACTGCATCTGGCTTGTCGAAAATGTCCACCGCAAAAAGCAGCTGCTTCGAAAGTCCGAGTTGCCTTTGAGGCCTCCCCCCCGTGTTGCTGCAGCAGCAGGTGCTGCTGCTGGTGCTGCTGCAGGCGCAGGCCGCGCCGCCCACTGCAGCAGCAGCAGCAGCAGCAGCAGCAGAACGTGCTGCGCACAGACGCTGCCACGCGTGCCGCGAACAAGTAGCAGCAGCATCGGGGGCCTGCGAGGGCCCCACAAGCTGCGCTGATATGTGGGGAAATGGCATTAAACACAAAACCCCTGCACACAACACAAAAACCCTAAACCCTAAACCCTAAACCCTAAACCCTGGAGTTCCGAGGCAGTTGCTGCGACGCTCCTGAACTAGGCACTCACGCCTGAGCTATGGAGGGCGGCGCGGCGAATAAACCCTAAATCCCAAACCCTAAACCCTAAACCCCAAACTCTAAACCCCAAACCCCAAACCCCAAACCGCAAACCCTAAACCCTAAACCCTAAACCCTAAACCCTGACCTTGGCCTGCTATGGGGACCTGCATTTCTAAAGGCAGCATAAGCAAGTCGCTTGTTTGAGCTTGAGAAGAGAGTTGAGAAGATCCATCGAACTGTCTGTACACCTCGAGGAGGACTTCATCGCTCTGGCTGTTGCCGCTGCTGCTGCTGCTGCTGCTGCTGCTGCTGCTGCTGCTGACACTGCGCATGCAAGGAATGAACTTGTTGCGCTGCGGCAGCATCGGCGGCAGCAGCGCAGCACGCCGCTCCCGCAGCAAAGAAAGCCGAGGGGTTAAGTATTCCAGAAAGGCCCACGCAAAGGTCTGCGCACAACCCTAAACCCTAAACCCTAAACCCTAAAACCTAAACCCTAAACCCTAAATCTTAAACCCTAGACTCTAAACAGCTCCATTTAGCTCTAGAAGAACTCCCTTAACCCGAATCAGCCGAAGCAAACCCTCACGAGCCCCAGCGCGCCCACACAAACCCCACAAAACCCTAAACCCTAATGCACAAAAGTAAACCCTAAAACACGCTAAACCCTAATAAGCCTCATAAACCCCAAACCCCCTCTAAACCCTAATAAACCCTTTCAAACAGGCAATGCAGCGCAGCCGGAGACCCCCCGTGAATTGGACCTGATGGCGTCTAAGCTTAGAAGCTCGCTACACCCTAAACCCTAAACCCTAAACCCTAAACCCTAGACCCTAAACCCTCGTAACGTAGACGCCTGGGGTCACCCTGAGCCCGCTGGGGCTGGAATCCCCAGCCAAACCCCAAAGCCTAAACCCTAGACTCCCCAAACCATTCACCCCCCGCGAGCCTAAACCCTAAACCCTAAACCCTAAACCCTAGGGCTCACCTTGCTGGTGTGCTGGTGGCCCAGGAAGAACTGCAGCAGCGCAACGCACTGCGGGTAAGTGACAACTAGCTGCTGCAGCGCAGCAGCATTTTCAGCAGCAAAACCTGCTGTGTCTGCAGGATGCAAAAAAGCCAAAGCTGAAGAGGCCAACTCCAGAAGTTCCTTTTCCTCCACCTGCGCCACGTTCAGCCCCAACACCTCCACCGCCTCCGGAATGCCCTGCGACAAACCCTAAACCCTAAACCCTAAACCCTAAACCCTAAACCCTAAACCCTAAACCCTAAACCCTAAGTCCGAGGCCCTGCAGGGTAGGTCTACACCGCATTCGGGTGCTCTGCGTCCAAACCCTAGAGACTCAACCTTAAACCCTAAGCGCTATATCCTACGCTCAAACCCTAAACCCTAAACCCTAAACCCTAAACCCTAAACCCTTGGCCGTCAAGCCTCAACGCGCAAGGAGTCATGAGGCACATCGCTGCCCAAGGTGAGGAAGCGGCCCAGAGAGATCCAATCCCTAAACCCTAGACCCCAAACCCTAAACCCCAAACCCCAAACCCAAAACCCCAAACCCTAAACCCTAAACCCTAACCTTGAAGAGTGCCCCTGTCAGCGGGTAAGTTGGAGGCAACGCAATCAAGGTGCAGCCGATGCCGCCCTCTTCTACATGGTGCTGAAGCCTTGTGGTGGCGGCGTAGGCAAAACACTGCAGCCACAAACCCTAAACCCTAAACCCTAAACCCTAAACCCTAAATCCTAAACCCTTGCTCGAAGGCGAGCAGCCAAAACCCCACGGAAAAGCCGCACACGGTGGAGGAAGGTGCAGACGCTGCAGCGTAGACTCCAGTGTCTAGAGTCTAGGGTTTAGGGTTTAGGGTTTAGGGTTTGGGGTTTAGGGTTTACTTTGGCGTAGGTTAAGGCGCTTCCCACAGTTGCGTAAAAGGCCTCAGTCAGCAGCGCCCTGTAGCCAGGAGGCAGCATTTGTCCCTGGGGCAGCAGCCGCACATCAAAAGAAGCTCTTCTGCTGCTGCTGCTGCTGCTGCTGTTGTTGCTGCTGCCAGCTGAGGCTGCTGAAGCTGCTACGGACGAGGCCCTGCCCTGCTGCTGCTGCTGCTGCTGCTGCAGCCGCCGCTGCTGCTGCTGCAGCGGCAGCACCACTATTTGATAAACCAAACACCGCAGCGCGATGCAAGTGCTGCGCAAAAAGCTTTTTGTCTCTCTTAGAAATGACTGATACACTTGCTGCTGCTGCGGCGACAGCGGCTTAGCAGCAGCAGCAGCAGCTGCTGCTGCTGCTGCGCCTGCTGGGCCCCCTGAAGAGCCCACTGCCCCCGGCAAAGGCACCGCTGGAGGGTAAAAGTGCACGGCTCTGCTGCTGCTGCTGCTGCTGCTGCTCATGCTGCTGCTGGTGCTGCTGCTGGTGCTGCTGCTGCTATCAGACTCCTCGAGCCCTTCGCTGCATGCAGCTGCATGCATCTGCCCACAAAGTGCACAGAACCCAGCAGCAAACCCTAAACCCTACACCCTACACCCTAAACCCTAAACCCTAAAACCTAAACCCTAAACCCTCCAAACGGCAGAACTCCAGCACTAAACCCTAAAACCTAATATGCAAGCTCCATACACTCTCAATGTTAAACACTCAACGTGGACTCTCCACAGGACGAATAAACCCTAAACCCTAAACCCTAAACCCTAAACCCTACAATGCCTCACGTGTGGAATCTCTTCCTGCAGCTCAATAAGAGAAGAACACAAAATGCGCAGCGCCAGCAGCAGCAAGTCCATTGTCTCCTGCTGCATGCGCTGAACGGCCTCCTTGCTGCTGCTGCTGCTGCTGCGCCTGCTGCTGCTGCTGCCATTTGCTGCTGCACCAACAGCTGCATCACCCACTGCCACGCCCGAGTCCATCTCTCCTGGGGCTCTTCCTTGCGCTGCTGCTGCTGCTGCTGCATCACCGGCTGCAGCGTCTGCTGCTGCTGCTCCTGCTGCTGCCCCTGCTGCTGCTGCTGCATCAGCAGCTGCTGAGAGGTCGCTTTCTGCGCGTGCTGCTGGCTCTGCTGCAGCATCCTCTGCAGCAGCAGCAGCAGCATCTGTGTACTTATTAACAGCAAGGTCACAAACGAAATTCAGCAACTTTGCCACTAAATGTCTTATACTCAAAACAGCTAAGAGGCCCCCCCCTGTTGCTGCTGCTCCGCCGAGGCCCCCGCTCTTTTCGACATCTGCTGCTGCTGCTGCTGCAGTTGCTGCTGCTGCTGCTGCTGCTGCTGCGGCGTCGAAAGAGCCGCCGCTCCCGCCCTCAAACGACTTCAAAGCTGCTGCTGCTGCTGCTGTCGCTGCTGCTGCTGCTGCTGCAGACAAGTGCGGCCGAGACTGCAGCAGCAGCAAACCGCTCCAGCGCGCCACGCGCAGCAGCAAAGATAAAGAGACGCAAATGGGGGAAGGGAAAATCAACAAAAAGTCATGCAGGTGACATATCGTGTAAACCCTAAGCCGCACACCACACGCCGTAAACCCTAAACCCTAAACCCTAAACCCTAAACCCTAAACCCTAAACCCTAAACCCTGAACCCTAAACCCGAGCCTAGTCGCTGTGCAGACAAGCTCCGGCGGGAGGTCGTTACAGCTTTTAAGCCGCGCCTCCTCAACCTCCAGGCCAGTTCCAAACCCTAAACCCTAAACCCTAAACCCTAAACCCTAAACCCTAACCTGAGGAGACAGGAGTCAATTCTTTCCGTGAAGACTGAAAGCTCAAGAGACATCAGCCGCTCCACCACGGGAGTTAGCGAACCCACAAAAGGAGAAGCAGCAAGTAGTTTTGCTGCCTCGTGCACCTGCGCAGCGGCCGCAAACCACGAATTAGGGTTTAGGGTTTAGGGTTTAGCGCTTAGGGCTTGGGCGACGCGGCCTGAAGGCTTGGGGGCAGAGCAAACCCGCCAAACGCACGTAGACCCTTCGGAGGATCTAGGGTTTAGGGTTTAGGGTTTAGGGTTTAGCGCACTGTTTTCCGCTTTAAGAAAAGCGGCGGTTTGAGAGCCTGCAGCAAACGAACCATCACCTGCGGCAGCTGCTGCAGGGCTTTTGCAGTAAATGCTTCCAGCGTCCCGCTGCTGCTGCTGCTGCTGCTGCTGCTGCTGCTGTCGGCAGAGGCGCTGTTCTTCAGCAGGTAGCAAATAAACAACAGAATGCGGCTCTGTGCCTGAAACAAATCTGCAGCAGCAGCAGCAGCAGCAGCAGCAGCAGCAGCAATGAAGTACGCAGCACCGGGCACGCCGTGCAGCAGCAGCCAAGGCCAAACCAACAGCAGCGGGAGTAGCAGCAGCAGCAATAGCGCGCCAAACGCATTCGGGTCGAAACGTAATTGAAGCAGCAGCAGCAGCAACAACAGCAGCAGCAGCAACAGCAACAGCAGCAGCAGCAATAGCAGCAGCAGCAGCACCTTTGCTGGCTTCGGCCGTCGCTGGGTCCGCCAAGAAGGCCGGCGGCAGCTCCAGGCCGACGAAGCGCAGCAGCAAGTCCAGACAAACCCTGCAGCAGCAGCAGCAGCAGCAGCAGCAGCAGCAGCAAGAGGGAAACACAGTCTCTATGCACAAGTTGCAGTTTAGGAGGGTTTAGGATGTAGGGTTTAAAGTTTAGGGTTTAGGGTTTTGTTGCTGCAGTGCCCTTCGGAATGGAGAGCCCTAAGTCTGCAACAGTTCTCCGTCAACCTCCGTTCTCCTTTAGGGTTTAGGGTTTAGGGTTTAGGGTTTAGGGTTTGTAGGCCTAAAGCATCTCCCAGCATCTGAATGACTGCAGCATGTGGCACATTAAATATAACGGCCTCGAGCGCGGGGGTTTCGCGTTCGGGCCCCTGGATTCTGGCTTTAGGGTTTAGGGTTTAGGGTTTAGGGTTTAGGGTTTAGGGTTTACGCGTTTTGGGGCATTTCAAACACTTTGAGGGTTTTGAGTTTAGTGTTTAGCGCTATGATGCAGTAAGCCGCGTCTCCCCCAACCCGCACAGAAAGCTGCGCGGGGGTTAGCTGCCCGTATTCTCTCTTCACGCTCCCTAAACCACAAACCCTAAACCCTAAACCCTAAACCCTAAACCCTAGGCCTGACCCTTTGGCCGCAGGTGAGCTGCAGAGGCGAAAGTCCCGGACACACGGGTGAAAAACACAGCAGCAACAGCAGCAGCAGCTAGTGCAGCGACAGCAGCAGCAGCTAACGCAGCCACAGCAGCAGCACAACAGCAGCAGCAGCAGCAACAGCAGCAGCAGCAGCTACCTAGCGGCAGCTCCCCTGGCTTTGGCAGCACCCCAGTTTGTTTGTAAGTCTCCACTTGGCGCTCTATCGCCTCAATCAACTTCTCATATATCTGCAGCAGCAGCAGCAGCAGCAGCAGCAGCAGCAGCAGCACGCGTCAACAGCAAACCCCTCAGTGTCCTGGGTATGCGGACGGCTGGCCTGAGGGTTTAGGGTTTAGGGTTTAGGGTTTAGGGTTTGGGGCGGCGCAGAGTGCGCAAAACTTCCTGCTGCGCGCCCCCGTCCGCTTCTAACCCGGCCCCCCGCACGACGCCCGAGTCGAGGGTTTAGGGTTTAGGGTTTAGGGTTTAGGGTTTAGGGTTTAGGGTTTAGGGTTTAGGGTTTACGGGGGGCAGAGTGTGCGTGACGAGTTCGGGCGCGAGGCCCTGAGGGTCTTTGACATATTTTGCAATTTCAATCAAAGCTGCCAAACACCGAACTGCGCATTCTTCGCATTCTCCGCCGATGCTGCGGAGGCAGCCGCTCCACAGCCGCTGCAGCAGCAGCAGCAGCAGCAGCAGCAGCAGCAGCAGCAGCAGCGGCGGCGGTGGGGCAGCAGCAGCGAAGCCGCCGCAGCAGCAGCAACGGCCAACACCAGGCGGGCCCCACAGCTGCGGGGGACTTCCCGCAGACAGACTAGTGCAAGAAGCAGCAGCAGCAGCAGCAGCAGCAGCAGCAGCCATAAACTGGGGATGCTGCTGCTGCTGCTGCTGCGGCTGTACGTGCAGCAACAACAGCAGCAGCAGCAGTAGCAGCAGCAGCAGCAGCAGCAGCAGCGGTTTTAGAGGTGGCGCGGGGCCTTGGCTTACCGGCAGCAGCATTGCGTGGTTGTCCAGCAGCTGCTGCTGCTGCTGCTGCGTCAAAACAGCAAGCTGCTGCGGCGATAGAACGAGGGGAGCAGCAGCAGGAACAGCTAAGGCCCGCAGCAGCAGCAGCAGCTGCTGCCGCAGCGCATGCGGCTCCCCTTCCTGCTGCCCGATCTGTACGCGCTGCAGCAGCTGCAGCACGGCAGGCAGCAGCAGCGCAGCTGCTTCTGCTGCTGCTGCTGCTGCTGCGTTTTCGTAGCCGAAGCTCCCCACGCCCTCACCTGCTGCAGTTCCCGCTGCTGCTGCTGCTGCTGCTGCTGCTGCTGCTGCTCCGTCTGCTGCTGTTATCTGCTGCAGCGCCACTGCGCAGCGGCGAGCTGCTGCTAGCCGCTCTGACACTTCCTCAGTTGCTGCACTGCCGTTGCTGCTGACGCTCATGCAGCTGACGCTGCTGCTGCTGCTGCTGCTGCTGCTGCTGCTGCCGGGGCCCTCAGCAAAACGATCAACGTTCATTACAAAGTGCTGCAGCGTTGCTGCTGCTGCTGGGAAAAGCTGCGAGAGCCGGCTAGGCAGTGCAGCAGCTCTTTGAGCAGCAGCAGCTGCTGCTGCTGCTGTTGCTGCTGCATCTTGTGAGGCAGCAGGCAGCTCCGTCGGCTGCATCCCTGGCATCATTACTGCTGCTGCTGGTGCTGCTGCTGCTGCTGCAGGCAGCGCTGCCCCAGCTACGGGCAGTACCCCTCCTGCCCCTCCTAAAGCAGGAGCTGCTGCTGCTGCTGCTGCTGCTGCTGCACCCGGCGCTGCGATTGCAGCAGGCGGCCCTGCTGCAGCAGGCAGCTGCTGGTCCGCCTGCATGGCTCGTGAACGTACTGCTGTCGTTGCTGCTGCTGCTGCGCTGCTGCTGCTGCTGCGTGGTTTCAAAGGCTTGCTGCGCTGCAGCAAGCGCTACAGTGTGCCTCCTAAGGAGCGCATACGACTCGATGCATGCTGCAGCAGCAGCAGCAGCAGCAACAGCAGCTCAGAGCGCCGATCTGCAGAGAACGGTTGCTGCTGTTGCTGCTGCTGCTTCTGCTGCTGTTGTTAACGAAGATTATGCTGTCTAATGGCGCCGTTCCCGCTGCAGACGTGAGGCTCACAGCAGCAGCAGCAGCAGTAGTGGGAACCTGCTGCTGCCGCTGCTGCTGCGCTGCACGCACTATAGGAATGCAGTGGCGATAAGGTCTGACAAAAGAAAACACCGAAAAAATTAATAAAAACGGAGAATGGGGCTGCTGCTGCTGCTGCTGCTGCATGCCCTGGATCGAGGCTACGGCTCCAGCAGCAGCTGCTGCAGCTGCTGCCGTGGCTGCAGCCGCCGCAGCAGCTGCAGCGCGCAGCAGCAGCAACAGGCCGCCGCTGCTGCTGCAGCAGCAGCTTGTCTCACAACCAATGCGGGCTGTTCTAATTTGTATTTAATAAACAGGAACAGCCGAAAGCTGCAAATTGATGTTCTCACTGTGTAGCACCCGCACTAGCAGTAACAAGAGCAGCAACAGCAGCAGCAGCAGCAGCAGCAGCAAACTGAAGCTCAAGCAGCTTTCACACTAACTTACAGGCAGACGCCTTGAGTCGGTGGTTTTCCTATCTGCTGCTGCTGTTTCCGGTGGCAGCTGTTGCTGCTGCAGCTGCTGCTGCAGCCACTCTTGCTGTCGTTGCTGCAGCTGTCGCCGTTACATCAGTACCCTCCCGGCTCGAGCAGCAGCAGCAGCAGCAGCAGCAGCAGCAGCAACGGCTACAGGAGTGACATTCCGATTCTTACCTTTCATAGGGTCCCTATTTAGCATGTTGCTGCTGCTGCTTTTGGTGCTGCTGCCTTTGGCAGCAGCAGCGAGTTGGCTGCTGCGGCGGCCGAGTCGGCTGACTAGACAAGCTGCAGCGCAGCAACAGCAGCAGCAGCAGCAGAAGCAGCAGCAGCAGCGACAGGGAGAGGTGCTGCAGGAGCAGCACCGGGACACTCAGCAGCATCCGCACGACAAAGTGGCCTCCAGCAGCAGCAGCAGCAGCAGCAGCAGCGCCAACAGCAGCAGTGGCAAGGCTCGCAGGCGCCGCTCTGCAGCAGCAGCAGCAGCAGCAGCCGAGGACGCATGCTATGGCAGCAGCCGAGGCGAAACAGACTCTTCACAGTCTGAAGCAGAGGAAGACTCTCTGCAGCAGCAAAACAGCTCAGCAGCAGCATCTTCTGCTGCTGCTGCCCGTGCTGCTGCTGCCAGGGCGGCAGCAGCTGCAGCAGATGCAGCAGTGAAAGCAGCAGCAGATTTGGGCCCCTACAAGCTGCAGCCGCAGTGCGAGGCCGCAGACACGGGTGAGCAAGCGCAGCAGCAGCAGCAGCAGCAGCAACAGCAGCAGCAGCAGCAGCAAGACTGTGCTGCACACAACTCGCCCAGCAGCGCTGCTAGTGCAGCAGCACGTGTGGCGCACAGCCTCGCAGCAGCAGCAGAGGCAGCAACAGCAGCAGCAACGGCAGAAGTGGCGGCAGCAACTGCAGCAGCAGCAGCAGTAGCAGCAACGAATGCAGACGAAGTTGCTGCTGAGGCAGAGGCCATTGTTATGGAAGCAGCAGCCACGCAGGGTGCTGCTGCTGCTGCTGCAGTCGCTGTTGCTGCTGAGTCTGCTGTTGCTGCTGTTGACGCCGCCTCCGATGCTGAAGCAGCAGCCGGACAAGCGGCATCAACAGCAGCAGCAACAGCAGCAGCAGCAGCAGCAGCAGGGATGAACCTTCCAGTTGCTGCACAGACTGTTGCTGCTGCTCATGCTGCAGGAGAAGCAGCAGCAGCTGCATCTGTCGCAGCTGAAAGCATCCAAGCAGCTGCTGAGGCAGCAGCAGCAACTGCAGCAGCTGCTGCACACGCAACTGCAGCAGCAGATTCAGTTGCCTCTGTAGCTCGCGCAGCAGCAGCAGCACAAAGCCCGGCTGCCGCTCCTGCTGCTGCCCTTTCGGAGGATGCAGCAGCAGCAGCAGCTGACACAGCAGCAGCTGACGCAGCAGCAGCTGACGCAGCAGCAGTTGACGCAGCAGCAGCTGACGCAGCAGCAGCTGACGCAGCAGCAGCTGACGCAGCAGCGGCTGACGCAGCAGCAGCTGACGCAGCAGCAGCTGACGCAGCAGCAGCAACGCCAGCAGCAGCGGAGGAGCTCGCAGATGCAGCAGCAGACGCAGCAGCAGCCGCAGAAGCTGTGCAGCCGCTTGCTGCGGCAGCAGAAAACACAGCAGCAGCAGCAGCAGCAGCAGATGCAGCGATTGCTGCTGCAGCAGCTCCCGCCGCGGATATGGAGCCTGACGCTGCCGCGGATGTAGCAGCAGAAGCAGCAGATGCAGCAGCAGCAGCAGCAGCAGCAGCAGCAAAGAGCACAGCTGAGCTGCTGAGTGGAGTGACACTCATAGGGGATGTCCGTTGCGAAGACGAGCAGCAGCAGCAGCAGCAGCAGCAGCAGCAGCAGCAGGAAGCAGACACAGACTCAACGCAGCCTTCCACTGCAGCAACGGAGGCCCCGCTGCCGCACGCAGCCGAGGCAGCAGCGGAGCCAGCAGCAGCAGCAGCGGACGCAGCAGCAGCAGCAGCAGCAGCAGCAGCAGCAGCAGCAGCAGCGCCGCGGTTCGAGGAGCTGGACGGAGAGGAAGCAGAGGAGCAGCTGACAGCAGCAGAACTGAAAGAAAGGGGAAATTGTGAATTCAAAAGTGGAAAAGTTTCTGCTGCGCTGCAGTTGTATGCAGCAGCAATTAACAAATTAGAAAAAGAAACTGAAGAAGTGGAGGCCCAGCTAGACGCCCTCGAGATCCGCGCGGAGCAGCAGCAGCAGCAGCAGCAGCAGCAGCAGCAGCAGCAGCAGCAGCAGCAGCAGCAGCAGCAGCAGCAGCGGTGCGAGGAGGAGCAGGGGCAGCAGGAGGCGGGGGGAGAAAATGGCGAGAAAGAACAGCAGCAGCAGCAAGAGGAACAGCAGCAGCAGCAAGAGGAACAGCAGCAGCAGCAGCAGCAGCAGCAGCAAGGGGAGCAGCAGCAGCAGCAAGACCCGCGGGAGCACCCTGCTGCTCATTTGCTGCCAGAGAAAGATTTGCTGCTGTACCGGCAGCTGCTGCAGCAGGTGCAGAAGCTTGACGAGATGCATGCAGTTCTCAAGAGCAACAGGCAAGCTGCTGCTGCTGCTGCTGGAGCTGCTGCTGCTGCTGCTGCTGCTGCGCATGAGTTTGCTTTTATTTCCCTCATTTTGTTTTTGCTGCACGTTATCTAGCTTGCTGCTCTTTGCTGCTGCTGCTGCTGCTGCACACGGATTTGCCTTTGCTGCCCTTCGTTTGCTTCTGCTGCTAGTTACAAACCTTGCTGCTCTTTGCTGCTGCTGCTGCTGCTGCTGCTGCTGCTGCTGCTGCAGGGCTTTGTGCCATCTGCACTACGGGGCGTTTGACTTGGCCGTCGCGGACAGCACAGACGCCATCCGCGCAAACCCTAACTACGCAAAGGTAAACCCTAAACCCTAAAACCCTAAACCCCCAAACTACGCAAAGGTAAACCCTAAACCCTAAACCCTAATTTTCAGACTCAGGCCGCGGCTTCGAAACCCGCGGCATCCACGAGTCGGCAGAAAGTGCAGCAGCAAACGCCTGCAGCAAGTAGAGCCGCAGCGCCACAGTGCTAGGGTTTAGGGTTTAGGGTTTAGGGTTTAGGGTTTAGGGTTTAGGGTTTGTGTGTGTAGGGTTACTTGCGGCGCTTCCGGGGCTATGAGGGGAAGAAGAAGTGGCATGAAGCCCTCAGCGATTTAAACAAGGCCATCGAGCTGGACCCCAAACTAGCGTAAACCCTAAACCCTAAACCCTAAACCCTCGTCCCTAAACCCTAAACCCTAGTCCCTAAACCCTAGGCAGCCTGGACGTCCCAAGTCTCTGCTTCCAGCGTTGCTGCCCTCGCCCAAATGTTCGCCAGCAGCCCTCCTCGGCGGCCTAGGGTTTAGGGTTTAGGGTTTCAGGGTTTAGGGTTTAGTGTCCAGGGTCTAGGGTTTAGGGTTCAGGGTTTAGTGTTTAGGGTCTAGGGTTCAGGGTTTAGGGCTCAGGGTCTAGTGTTCAGGGTCAAAGGTTCAGGGTTTAGCCTCCTGGGCTTAGGGTTCAGGGTTTAGGGTCTAGGGTCTAGGGTTTAGGGTTTAGGGTTTAGGGTTTAGGGTTTAGGGTTTGCGCAGGGAGAGTTACGGGTCGGAGCTGCGTCGCGTGAAGCGCGAGAGCGAGCAGCAGTTCGAAAAAGAAAAAGAAGAAATGATTTCAAAATTAAAAGATTTGGGAAATTTCGTTTTGGGAAAAGTTGGATTATCTTTGGACAACTTCAAAGTCGAACAAAACCCTCAGACCGGCAGCTACAACATCCAGTTCCAGCAAAACCCTAAACCCTAAACCCTAAACCCTAAACCCTAGCTGGCTCCGCGCGCTTCCCGCGCAGCGCCCAGCCCTCCGCAAACCCTAAACCCTAAACCCTCAGCCGCAGCAAGCCTGCGGGCTTCCGAGCTGCCAGCAGCGACTGCGCCCTTCAACTAAACCCTAAACCCTAAACCCTAAACCCTAGGTGCCTCCAAACCCTCCGCGCGAGAGCCTCCGCCATTCTTTCCATCCCCTAAAACGCAAACCCTAAACCCTAAAACGCAAACCCTAAACCCTAAGCGGAGCCCTCGAGGCGGAGGGAGCTGCAAGCCGGGGGCGCGCCTGCGGGCTGCGCTAAACCCTAAACCCTAAAACAGCGAATAGTTTTAAACTTTCAAGACAACAGCGACGCGTAGGCCTCAAACCCTCACGCCCACGAGCCGCGAGGCAAACCTTTCGCTGCTGCTGCTGCTGCTGCTGCAGCAGCAGCAGCAGCAGCAACAACAACAACAGGTCCTGCAGGTGTATGTACACCTCAAATTTACGGTGTATGTGCGCCCGGTGTATGTACACCGCAGCAAAGACCATTTCAGTTTTGCCCTCAAAGTTTTATTTGCTTCCAGAGGGCATGCAGGTTTGCTGCTGCTGCAGCTGCAGACAGAGCTGCTGCTGCTCTCACTGCTGCTGCTGCTGCTCACACTGCTGCTGCTGCTGCTGCTCTCCCCGCTGCTGCTGCTGCTGCTGCTGCTGCTGTGAGTCCTCGCCATTGCATGCAAGGACAGGGCAGAGGTTTGCTGCAGTGTCAATTATGAAGTTGGGGAGAGCAGTCTTGGGTTGCTGCTGCTCTTTGCTGCCGCCGCTGCTGCTGCTGCTGTCTGCTGCAGCAGCAGCAAAGGCCCGCCGCAGCAGCAGCCCGTCAGTAACCCCCGTGAGACACAAGCAGCTCGGAATAGCAGCAGCAGCAGCAAAAGCGATATCTGTCACTAAAGAGTCCCCCACCACTAGCACCTTGTCCAGGCTCTCCCCAGCTGAGCAGCAGCAGCAGCAGCAACAGCAGCAGCAGCAGCAGCAGCAGCAGCAGCAACGGCAGCAGCAGCAAGAACAGCAGCGTGGGGAGCAGCTTTTGCCTATCTCAGCATCCAGGGAGAAATGCAAAGCTGAGGGCTGACAGGCGAGCGACGGCGTAAGGCTTAGAGGCTGCAGAATTAGGGTTTAGGGTTTAGGGTTTAGGGTTTAGGGTTTGTCACCGAGGGTTTCGAGCAGCAAACGCTTCATCTGCTCCGAGGGTTTCCCCATAAGTGTCGGCTGCTGCCCGCAGGCAGCAGCAACAGCAGCAACCATTGTGCCAGCTCCCGCCCATTTCTGCATCGCCTCAAACCCTAAACCCTAAACCCTAAACCCTAATCGCCTCGGACTCCAGCCCTAGGCGCTTACCAGCAGTCTCACGCTGGGGTCTTCTTGCCTTGCGCTCTCCTTTAGGTTTAGGGTTTAGGGTTTAGGGTTTAGGGTTTAGATTTCAGCGCAGTCATCGAGACACCGAGGGGCATCCCCTAAGAAGACCTCCAGGGTTTAGGGTTTAGGGTTTAGGGTTTAGCGCTCCGGTTTGAAGTTCCCCAGAGGGTCCGAGTTGGTGGCCAGAAACACTGAGTCTTGGCAGTTCAAATACAACTGCGCTTTTTGAAGTGTTTAGAACTAGGGTTTAGGGTTT